AGGGCTTTTCCATGGAAAACGAGTCCTGTATTATCATTTATGACTGAGCCAGAGGGGTTCATCCCTGTGATGGGAAGAATATGAATTAACAACATTGTGACTCTGTACAGAAGAAGAGCCTGACTCCCAAGGAGGGTCAGGGCCTATCCCAGGCCAGGCAAGGAGACTGGCAGGGCAGGGCAGGGCGGGGTGGAGTAGAACCTCAGGCTGTGCATCTGTGGCCTTTGAGGTGCAATTACCGCCTGCTGGGGACAGATCAATGCCTTTAATAGACATGTTTATTTAGGGAAAGAAAGTCTCTTTCAATCTTACAGAGGAGGAGTCATGAGGGAGCTCAGCAACCCTCCAGCTGACCAAGGCTGGCATCTCAGATCGCATTCCACCTGTCCCATGATGGGATGAGGAAACTGGTGCACTGAACGGGGTTGTTTATTCACCAAACAATGTTTGCAACCCTGCTTAATCATTATCTTCTTCTTATCACTGTTTTCTCCTTCACAGAGCATGGGGCTCCCTAGCGTGCAGGCTTCAGGCCTTGCAAAACCTGGATCCTCCCTGCTTGTTTTCCCGATTGCTGCTCTTTGGAGGCCCCTGAGTTCCATTCCCAAAGCTCTCCTGAGCAACAAAGCCGTTTCTCCCACCGCTAAAGACCGTCGCTGGAGAGCACGGGAGAGGGAAAGCAATTATTTTCGAAAACTCAGGGCCACCTCTTCAGGAAGCCCTGGAGTCCACAGTAAACAAAATTCCCCATCTTATCTGTGAGAAACCTGAAGGAGGATTTTAAAATTCTGGTCTGCCTGTCAGAACAGAATACGTGTAAATAGGTAATTTCCTGCAACCGCAAGGCATGCTGGGAGCCAGACACTTACCAAGGTGACATTGTCCCAGGCGCCTGTTCTGTGCTTTGAATGTGGCACTAAACCCCCAAACGAAGCCCGAGGGATGCAGACTTCTGATTAGATCCTGTCTCGCATCTCCCTAAGGTGTGAAATGCTTGGTTTTAGTGCACCTGAAAATGTCACTGCATAAGTGATCTGCTGAATCTTTCTGTTCATAAGAGGGGATATAGCAGGAGGCACTGAAAGATGGTCCAGGTGCAGGTGGGGATACTGAGGTGCAAGAGGGAAAAGGACCACTGCACATCCCACAGGGAGTCAGTCATGAGTCACAGTATGAATAGTTATTGGTGATTTACTATGTCCTAATCACTTTACAGGGATTACCTTATTTAAGGCTCATCACACCATGTATTGGGTAACCTAACCCTGATTTCTATCTTAGAGGAGGAAATAGAGATTTAGAGAGGTAGGGGGTGGTGTTTAGTGCTGGCTACACATTTGAATCATCTGGGGGCTTATATTATTAAGTACTGATTCCGGTCTGATTATTGCAGGTCCACTAAAAACAAAATTAAAGTGAAAAGTCCTGGGGCCTAAGCCCCTTTCCTGAGTCCACGTTGAACTCTCAGGGTGGGCCTTAGCCATGGGTAGAATGTGAGGTGCTCCAGGTGATTCTAATATGTAGCCAGAGCTGAGACGATGGGGTTGCAGAATTTGCTCAAGGTTACGTGGCCGGTGAGTAGTGGACTCTACCCCGGGAGGTCTGACTCCACTAGGCCTCACCTGGGCATACTGGAAATCAGTGTAATTCATTGCCCTGCAAAAAGTACCTGCTCCCCTTAACAATATCATCTTCTGTGAGCCTGAAACCTCTAGTACATGCAGCTCTGGGACCAGAGGTGTGCTTTCTTTCCCGCTGTAAACTCTCCTGATGGTACCAAATGGATATGATGCAGGGTATTCGTTTGTTATTGTTGCTGTAACAATTGCTACATGGGCACCTGCAATCCCAGCTACTTGGGAGGCTAAGGCAGGAGAATCCCTTGAACCTGGGAGGCGGAGGTTGCAGGGAGCCGAGATTGCGCTACTGCACTTCGGCCTGGGCGACAGTGCGAGACTCGGTCTTCAAAAAAAACCAAACCAAACCAAACAAAATTGCTACAAATTTCCAGTTCAAAACACACGCATCCAAGGAAAGGTGCAGTGGCTCACACCTGTAATCCCAGCATTTTGGGAGGTGGAGGCAGGTAGATCACTTGAGGCCAGGAGTTCGAGACTAGCCTGGCCAACAGGGTGAAACCCCATCTCTACTAAAAATACAAAAATTAGCTAGGCGTGGTGGTGCATGCCTGTAGTCCCAGCTCCTCAGGGGGCTGAGTCAGGAGAATCGCCTGAACCTGGGAGGCAGAGGTTGCAGTGAGCCAAGATCGAGCCACTGTACTCCAGTCTAGGCAACAGAGTGAGACTCTTGTCTCAAAACCAAAAACCAAAAACCAAAAAAATCCACACACACACACACACACACACACACACACACACACACATCCAATCTCTTGCAGTTCTGGAAGTCAGAAGTGTGAAATCAGTTTCACTGGGGCCAAAATCAGTTTCACTGAGCCAAATTCAAGGCATCAGCAGGGCCCTGCTCCTTCCTGAGGCTCCAGGGGAGAAGACATTTCCTTGCCTTTCTGAGTTTCTAAAGCTGTTTTTCTTGCATTCTTTATTTCATAGCTCCTTCCCCTCTCTTGTCTTGCTACAGTGTTACATTGTCACCTCCTTCTGTGTCAAATTTCCCCCTGCCTTTCTTTCATAAGGACACTTGTGATTGCATTTAGGACCCATCTGGATAATCCAGAATCATCTCCCCATTTTTAGATCTTAAACTTAATCACATCTGCAAAACCTGTTTGTATGTAAGGTACATTCACAGGCTCCAGGGATCAAGACCTGGGTATCTTTGAGAGTCATTATTCAGTCTACTGCACATAGGAAGCAGGGAGATATACCTTCATTCATGTCTCCATTCAGGTTCCACACAACCATCTGTGATCTAGCTGAAGGCCATTGGGCCAAAAACATGTTGATTGATATTAGTTTGGTCTAAATGAAGATTTTTTTTTTTTAAAGAATGTTGTAGCCAGCTTCCAAATGGTCTCCAGTGACCCCTGCCTCCTGGTATTCCCATCTGCCCGCATTGTGGGGTTCCCTCCCACAGTGTATCAGGGATGGTCTGTGTGACCAACAGCATACGGTAGATGTAGTGGTGGGTATGTCATATCCAAGATTAGATGGTGAAAGACCAAGGCCCATCTTGGGCTTCTTTCTCTGATCTCTCACTCTGGGAAGCAAGCTGCAGTGTGAGTCTAGAGAGGCCCATCTGGCCAGGAACCGAGGCCTCCTTCCAGGCTGCCAGCACCCCCTTGCGTGCATTTGGAAGTGGGTCCTCCAGACCAGGCAAAGCTTCGGGTGGCTGCAGCCCTGGCTGACAGCTTGACCCAAACCCCACGAGAGACCCTGAGCCAAAACCAGCCAGCTAAGCCACTCCTGGATCCCGATGCTCAGAAATTGTTGCTTAAAGTTGCTAAATTGGAGACAATCTATTAGGCAGCAATAGGCAGCTATTACAAGAGATATTTTCATCTCTATTTTTTCTAGTATTGGTAATTTTTAGTCCCTCCAATGGGGCACTTTGCCAACTTTTGAGTAACTTGGAGCACTTTTTTCCATTTTCCAGAAGTGTGCAGAGATTCATTTTTCTCTTTTATAAATTTTCAGCTACTGATCTCTGCATTCCCATGTTCTAATATGAACCAAGGCAAAAAGAGGATGACTTAGAATGAACTGATGTCTGAAAATGGAGAATTTGCTGGAACAAGTGATGTGGCTTATCACTGGGCTCCATTGACTTTGAGGGTGAGGTGCAGAAGGGACCATGAGGATCCTCTGGGCCAGCAGTGCTCAGAGGGTGGTCAGAGACTGCCTCTCAAAATCATGGGGACTTGAAGCTCATCCTCAGACACGCCCACTTGGAATCCAGAGGGGTGGCTCTGGGAGTCTGCCTCTTTGACAAGAGGCCCCGGGGATTCTCCCCAGTACCCTGAACCTGACCCTGACCCCGACCCCTGCTGCAGGCCCACTCTCCTCTGTTGTTGAAAGGAAGTCTTATCTGCTCAGGCTGCCATGACAACATACCACACACTGGAGAGCTTAAATAAGAGTCCACAGCCTAAATTTATTTTCTTGCAATTCTGGAGGCTGCAAGTCCAAGATCAAGGTTCAATAGTGTCTGTTTCGGGTGAGGGCTGTCTTCCTCGCTTCCAGGTGACTGCCTTCTCCTCTTCTTGCTGTGTCCTCACAAGGTAGGAGAAAGGGTGGTAGAGAGCGAGAGTGAGAGCGAACGAGAGAGAGAGAGAGAGAGAGAGAGGGAAAGAGAGAAGGCGGGGGAGAAAAGGGAGAGGGAGTCGCGATCTCATGCATATACATGAGATCCTATGGTTTGGCATATTTTTCACATGAAAAGCAGGATAGTGAAGTGTATTCAAAAGAATATTGAATTTCAAGCTTAAAGACCTAGGGCCTCATCTCACTTCTCCACTTAATCTTTTGTGATCCTAACATTTAAAAACCTAATTTTTCTGAGGCTCAATTTCCTGGTCTGTAAATTAGTAATAATAATACTCAACTCTCAGAGCCATGATAAGGACTAAAAGAACACGAGCCACGGATGGTGACCAGCACACTCAAGGGCACAGACAGGCTCCCATCTGTACTGGATGAAGATAGAGGAGGGGGCAGGGAGCATCAGTCCCAGCCTGGGAGCAGTGGGAGCAAAGGCCTGGGGTAGGAAGCACATGGTAGGGGCGGGGGACTGGGCAGAAGAAGGCGGCTAGAGCTTAGAGCGTGTGAGGGGTCACCAGCTGTGGGCAGGATCTGTAGGGACTTCGAAGGAATAACGGGCTTTGCTGTTTATTTGCATGCCCACTCGGCTCCCACTCAGATCTGTCCCCCAGAGCCCCGACCCTGTGCCCAGAGCACTTGTCCCCCCTGCTCTGAGTGGCGCTTGACTGCCCTGGACCCACTTCCTGTCTCTCCTTTTCTCTCCAAGAAAGTGCACCGCTCCCTTGTCTCTTTACCATCTCTTCTTTGCTGTATGCTAAGGTTAAGCTGGACCAGAACAATCCAGAGACCAATGAGGACGTGAATGGCCAGCCAGGGAGCCGATATCTGTTAAGGCTTTGTCACCCTGTGGCCTTAGCCATGTTGCTTCTCCTCTCTTGGTGTCAGCTGTTTATTTGCAAAGCCGGGGCTGGACTCGACAAACAGCGCTCAAAGTCCTTTTGTAGTTGAAATATTCCAGAGGATGCTGTCACTTGGAAATACGTTCTCTCAGGTGAGTGAGTAATAAATGCAACTTGAGAGGCAGACAAAAAAGATGCCAGCAATAAGCCCAAGGGGGCGGGTAATGACAAGGTCTCTGGAGGTGAACAAGATGAGGACTTTTGGGCTGGGAAACCTCCAAGGTCCCATCTCTTTGTGAGAGTCTGTGAGTCTGTTACATTTCAAGTCAGCTTCAGAAAGCACTTTCTAACTAGCAAAATGGTCCCATGATGGAAAGCACCACCTTGGGAGAGAATGAGCTCCCTGTCACCAGGGTGTGCAAACAGAAGCCAGACAAACCATTGGCAAGGACACTGTAGGATGGAGGTTGTAAACTGAAATGTGTTCAAAGGCCAGGAACATATTTTGAGAGAGAGAGAAGAGAGGCCACATTCACATAACTTTGATTACTGTATATTGTTATAATTGTTCAATTTTATTGCTAGCTATTGTTATTAATCTTTTACTGTGCCTAACTTATAAATTAAATTTTATTGTAGGTATTTACATATAGGGAAAAACATAAGCTATGTTGAGTTTGGTACTACTGAGGTTTCAGTCATCCACTAGGGGTCTTGGAATGTACTAACACTTTAATCCTACCTGTTCCTAAATAGGGATTATTTTGTAATCTGATAATTACATGTTTATAGTAATTAGCATGTAATTTTATAGCAAATAACGTGTTTATAGTAATTCTCAGATCATTGGGTCTGACAGGCAAATTTCTTTTTAAAGCTTTGTTGGGAACAGGCCCCCCCAAATCTGGCCATAAACTGGCCCCAAAACTGGCCATAAACAAAATTTCTGCAGCACTGTGACTTGTTCATGATGGCCATAACGCCCACGCTGGAAGGTTGTGGGTTTACCAGAATGAGGGCACCTGGCCCGCCCAGGGTGGAAAACCGCTTAAAGGCGTTCTCAAATCACAAATAATAGCATGAGTGATCTGTGCCTTAAGAGCATGTTCCTGCTGCAGATAACTAGCCAGACCCACCCCTTTATTTTGGCCCATCCCTTCATTTCCCATAAGGGATACTTGTCGTTACTCAAATATCTATAGAAACAATGCTAATGACTGGCTTGCTGTTAATAAATACGTGGGTAAATCTGTGTTCGGGGCTTTCAGCTCTGAAGGCTGTGAGACCCCTGATTTCCCACTTCACACCTCTCTATTTCTGTGTGTGTGTCTTTAATTCCTCCAGCGCCGCTGGGTTAGGGTCTCCCCGACCGAGCTGGTGTCAGCAAGCTTGATGTTAAATATATTTTAAGTGATCATAATTTATTGAATTTAAAAAAAAAAGAACAATGGGGAGGATAAGGGGGACTACCATAGCTATAAACAGCAGAATATTATTCAGCCTTAAAAAAGAAGGCACTCCTGCCATTTGTGACAGCATGGATGGACCTGGGGTACCTTATGCTAAGTGAAATAAGTCAGGGAGATGATTCTTATTTGTGGATGTAAAGAGTAGCCCTCTGCGTGTTTGATATACGAGTCCACTTCATCTGCTTCGGTGGATTCTGCATCATCACGCCATGAGTATGTCAGTGGTCGGATGTCAAGAGCAGATGATGTTGATGACAACTGGGCAGGTAGTATCTCCAGTGTGGAATGCTGAACAAAGGGATGATTCATGTCCCACATGGGACAGAGCAGGACAGTACAAGATTTCATCATGCATTTTAAAACTCATGAATTGTTTATTTTTGGAATTTTCTATTTAATACTTTCATACTATGGTTGACTGTAGGGTAACTGAAATTGTGAAAAGTGAAAACGTGGATAAGGAGGCACTGTTGTACCAAAGTTTCTTTATCCATCTAGCCATCACACAGAAAGACAGATAAATACTGCATGGTCTCACCCATATGTGGAATCTTAAAAAGGTGAATTCATAGAAACAGAAACTAGAAGGGTGGTTACCAGGGGTGAGGGGTAGGAGAAATGGGGCAATGTTGGCCAAAAGGTACAAACTTGCAGATGAAAAAGTTCTGGAGACCTAATGTACAGCATGGGTATTATTAACTATACAGTTAATAATATAGGACTGATCCCTTTGCTCAGTATTCCACACTGTAGATGCTATCTGCCCACAAGTCATCGATATCATCTGCAACTATAGTTAATAACTATATAGTCAACAACTATAGTTCATAATCAGTAATAACTGCTAATTAATAACTAACTATACAGTTAATAAAATTAGCCATCCCTGGCTAATTTTCATCCTCGTTACTGTACAGAATTCCTTGGTGTGACTATACCACAATTAATTCATCCACTCCTGTTGCTGGGCATTTAGGACGTGTCCAGTTTCAGTCTGTTACAAATCATGCTGCCATGAACATTTTTGAATGCCTTTTGATGGCTGTGTGTACGCACTTCTGTTGGGTGCATACCTAGGAGTGGAATTGCTGGGTCACTGGGCACACATGTGTTTCACTTATAGTAGAAAATGTCAGTCAGCTTTTTGAAGGGGATGTATCCATTTACACCCTGATAGATGTGGATGAGTTGGTTGCTCCAAATCTCCCTGTATTTAAATATTAACCACAAATTTTTAAACACCCTTTACAGGCCAAACAAAATACAGATTTTATCTGTAGCTGCCTGTTTTCAATCTCTCGAGTGGAGAGAATTCAAATGGCAGAGCAGCTGAGGATTAGACAAGAGCGTTTCCAACACCTCTTTTTGCTGGAGAGCTCAAAATTGGCTCCAGCAAATGGTTCAAGTCTTTTCGATTCCTCCATTCCCACCCAATACCCGCCCTCGCCAAAGCTTGTAAAACAGGCTTCCACCTCCCTACTTACCTCCCTAGACCGCTGTGAAGATTGACTAATAAATGTCTGCAAATCAGCCAGTGAAAAGAAACAGGGCTATAAGTAGACAATAATCATGATATTAATCAGCATCACATCCAAGGGCGTAGCTCCATTAAGCCAGCCCTTGCCCCACCACTGACCCCCCTCCATTCAGCTGCTCACTCCATTATTCTGTAAGCAATTTTCAGGCATCTGCTCTGGGCTGGGCCCTCAGCTATAGGCTGGAGCTATAGCATGTTCCAGGAGGGTCTGGAAGAGTTCCTGGACTCACCCCCCATGGTACAAGGAGGAAACTGAGACCCAGGAACAGAAAGGAATCTGCCCAGGTCACAGCACCCTTCAGGCACAGCTAGAGGCTGAAGTCCCTAACTCTAGCTCAGGCTCCTTTCTGTACCTGTGAGGCCCCAGACATTCTCAAAGGACCCCCCTTTTCCCCTGGCACTGCCTCCATGCCACTCCCTGTGCGCCCCACTCCCTCTAGTCCCCACTAGTTCCTCTCTTTGCAGCTGCCTTGATGAGAAAGGGATTCTCCCAGCCCCTCCCAATTTCCCAGTCCTTTGCCTTCTCCTCAAATCTGTCAGGCTGGCAACCCTCTCTAGGTCTCACCATGCCCACCCTGCCTCTCTGTTTCTGCACTGAGGTCCTCCTGGGTGGAGACTCTTCTGAGGTTCTGGTGTCAGACAGAGCTGGAACTAAATCCTAACCCTGCCTCTCTAACTAGATGTATAACCTTGAGCATGCCAAGGTTAACTTAACCTCTCTGTGCCTCGTTCTTATGTCTGTGAAATGGGGATATCAATGGTACTTATCTCCTAAGGTAGGTATGAAGAATAAATAACATAAAGTGTTTGGAAACCATTAACCTCAAGGCCTGACAGGAGTTTTGACACCCAGAGAGATGAAGGCACCAGTCTGTGGTCACATAACATGTCTGTGGAAGAAGCAGGAACTGATCCAAGTCTCCTGGGTCCCAGCCTAGGCTCCATGCACCATCTTCCAGGGATTTCTGCTGGTTTGTGCAGACCAGTTGGATAGAAGTTTTAAGTCAGGCGGTAATGAGACTAAGCACCAAGAAAGAAGCCCATTTCCAGCCCTGACAAAAGGCTGTTCTCTTTAGTGGGAGCCAACCATATACTAGGTGTACACATGCTTTATAGTCATGAACTCTCGTCTTTGTTACAAAGGAGGCAACCACTTTACAGAAGAGAATATTGAGGCTCAGAGAAGTCCACAAGCCCAGTAAGTAGTGGAGCAGAGTGAGAACACAGGTAGGGCACGTGACTTTGCAAGACGCTAGGCTGCCACCTGCTGTGAGATTAGGTTGCTCACATCTGCATAAACCAGTCCTCAGATAATCGCATGGGTGCTGGAGACTGAAGTGGGTACTGGGACCTCCTTTATTAGAACAGGCAATTGCATCTTGGATAGCCCCTGGGTCCTTACAGAATGACCTTTTCGGAAAACCTCTAGCTTCCCTTCCACACTCTGGCCCCACTACCTTCACCTTTGCCTTTACCTTCACTGTCAGCAGGGGACTTCAGAGAGATGCACTTGCTGTGGTGTTGGGAATCATATTCTTTTCTTCTTCTTTTTTTTTTTTTTTTTGCGAGGGAGTGGGGAAAATCTTTCCACGTTGCCCAGGCTGGCCTGAAACTCCTGGGCTCAAGCAGTCCTTCTGCCTCAGCCTCCCAAATAGGTGGGGAAATCACATTTCCTGTTGCTGAATCCAGATCCCACTCTGCCTGTTTCCCTCACCGGCTTCTGGGCATTTCCCTTCTCGCTCTTGACCTCAGTTTCCTCATCTGTACACTGACTCAGTGGATCCTTCAAAGTGACCTTGATTCCCAGGCAGCCACTCTTTCCTCACCAACATTTCCACCTACTCCAGGCAGATGAGACTCAGCTGGAGGCCAGAAGGAAAGCAATGGATTAGAGTCATTCACACCAGGGAGTGAATGGCTGATGGCTCCCTACCACTCCCCTCCTTCCTTATCTTAGCCTTAAAATCAAAAACAAACACACACAAACAAAAACACCAGGGCAGCATCCTGGTGGCATCTTATGTGGACTGAGGAAGAGATGAACTAATGAGAAAGACAGGAGAGTGTGGGAACGGAAACCTCCACAGCTTGAGGCCAGACCTCAGGCTCAGGAATCAGACAGAACTGAGCTCAAATCAGTTCTGCCACTGACCAGAACTGTGGCCTTGGCAAGTTCTTCATCTCTCTGAGCCTCAAGTTCCACATCTGTAAAAGAGAATAATAACCGCTGCCTCTGTGAACGACGTAACACTCATGCAGTGCCCAGCGCCGAGCTGCGCTCCTGATGGGTGCAAGAAGGTGTGGGGCCTCCTTCCTTCCTTCCTTCCTTCCTTCCTTCTTTCCTTTTATCCTACCATAGAATGTAGGCCTCCTCCCACCTCTACCCCAGGATCTGGGTGTGTAGGCCACAAGTAGGGTGGTCTGCCCCCGCCATCCAGGATGGGAGTGTGGCAGGTGACCTCCCTCCCAGAAGCCCCTCACCCTACATTCTCTGGCTGGGCGCAGATTTTGGAAGCTGAGGGTTGGCTGTGGGACAGGCCTGGCTCCAGACTCCGGGGTGCCAGCCGGGGTGGCGGAGGGAAGCAGCTTGCCTCGAGGCAAGTTTGGCTCAGCCCACTGCTTTGTTTAGCTTCATGCACTCAACTCCTCGCTTCTATTTGAAAACCTGAGTCTGATGGGATGGCCTGGCAGCTGGCAAGAAATGTGGGGAGCTGCATCTGGTCAGTGGGAGGCCTGACTGCATATATGTGACAGCCTGGCCCTCTCTCTGCCTGGGATGGCATTCATTCTTTTGCTCATTCAGCCATCAAATATCTACTAGGGGCCTGCCATCTCCCAGGCTCTGTGATAAATGCTGGGATCCAGCTGCTGGGCAAGACTGACATGGCCCCCACTCTCCAGGATCTGGGTGTGTTGGCTGGGAAAGGGCCATTAGTCAAAGGAAGCACAAGTTAGTGTAAAGTGCTCAGTGTTCTCAGGGGTGGGCATATACTATCATTAAGGTGCGTAATGGGCATTAACCAGATGGAAGGGACAGTGGCTCTGTTCCGGTCAATCCAATCATCCAACAATGACTTACATCCATTCTGTGCTGGACCCTGTACTAAGCCCTTGATCAAATTGTCACTCTACTCACCAGAAGCTCCTTGAGGACTGTGTCGAGGCATAATCATTCTCCCCTGGACCTTCCCTGCAAGACCCCAGCTTGATTATGCAGAAGGGATTCAGATACTGGAACTGGAATTAAAAGTCATGCAGAAAAGCAGATAATCCTTCCTGGCTGAATAGAGATTTCATGAAGGATTCCAGATTACCACTGGCATTACTTTGAATGCTGGGGAAGTGAAAGACTCAGGATCGAGTCCTGATTCTGCTACTCACAGGCTGTGTGACCTCAGGCAAGCCCTTTCCCTCTCTTGTCTTTAATTTCCCCTCTTGTACAAGAAAGGGGTTGAAGCAGGTCAACTCCAGAGTCCAGGTCACAGAGCTCAGGACAAGGTCTAGTGCAGAACAGGGGCCAGGGAATGCCTACGTCATTTCTCACAGGGGGGCAGATGCAGCCAGGTTTGGGGATGGGACAAACAGCACTAATTGGTGTCATTAACAGTTTCATCCTACCTGTTCCTAAATCGGGATTATTTTGTAATCTGATGATTATATGTTTATAATAATTAGCATGTAATTTTATAGTAAATAGCGTGTTTATAGTAATTCTCAGATCATTGGGTCTGACAGACAAATTTCTTTTTAAAGCTTGATGTTAAATATATTTTAAAGAGATCATAATTTATTGATTTTTTTAAAAAAGAACAATGATAATGTGGCGTAAGTTCTGGGACACATGAGGTAGGATTCTAGATCAAAAAGGAAGCAGAGATTAGCTTCCAAAGAATAAGATGTAGAAAAGGAAATAGCAGCTTCACCATGGAGAAACCTGGCAGACTCCACTTTATCCAAGTGATCCAGGTGAGCCTCCCCAGTGATGTCATGTGGCTATCAGGTATCCATTGGTATGATGTAACTAGAGGCCACTTCATCTCTGTTGAGCGTTTTCCTTAAACCTTAACCTGTCTAAGCATGAGAAGAACGTTAGACAAACCCAGATTGGGGACATTCTACAGGATCCCCAGCCAGTCCTCCTTAGAACTGTCAAACAGGGAAAGACTGAGAAACTATCCCGGACCAGAGGGGCCCATGGAGACTCATGACAACTAAATACCATACATGCTGGATGGGATACCAGTGCCAAAAGAGGACTTTAATGGGAAGACTTTACTTAGTGAAATCTAAATAAAGTCTAGAGTTTACTTAATAGTAATGTACCAACGTCAAGTGTCTTTGTTTTGATGTATATAGCATGATAACGTATAATGTTAATAATGGAGGAAACTGGATAAGGGGTACATGGGAATTCTTGGTTATATATGCAAATTTCTTGTAAATCTAAAATTATTGCCAATTAAAATGTTTATTTTTTTAAAAAAAAGAAACAGAAAAACATTTGGATACTAAAATTATTAAAGTCTTTTGGCAAAAATGGGGGAAGAATGATTAATAAACAAAGTACCTTACTTCTTAGAAAATGCCATAGAAAAACTCATTTCATCCTAGTTGATGGGGTTAAGATTTTTAGTAGTTATAAAATTACTGAGAAAAATGTTTGAAACTAAACCAAAATATGAGGATTTGTGTAAGATGGTGTCTTATAATCTCCATGCTTTGGCTTGGTGCTAAAATCAGAGCTGCAGAAGGTGCAGGAAAACAAGGGTCACTAACTCTGGAAGGGTTCCTAAAAGCTTTTTAGAAGAGGGGACATTTTGAATAGGGTATTGAAGGATATATAAGAGTTATCAAGCTAACCAGAAAAGATAAGAATAGGAATCTCTGCAATATCTGCCTTCATGGTGTTTTTTTTTTTTTTCTTATTACTTTCTACAACAGAAATTACACTGTGGTAATGATGGTGTGTATTTGTATGTTTGGTAGGTATCCTAGAAGTATCAATCACTGGACCTGCCCACCCGCTCTGCCCGCTCTGACTTCTAAGGGATGACACTACTCCACATTCAGCCTCTGCTGCCCAGGCCTCCGTGTTCTTGCTCCAGGCTGGCTTTACAGGTATGAGACCTGTGCAGTTGCACAGGGCACTTGGTTTTTATGCTCTACTGTGGCTGTCTTGAAATTCTTAGTAATTTGGCCGGGCATGGTGGCTCACACCTGTAATCCCAGCACTTTGAGAGGCTGAGGTGGGCAGATCACCTGAAGTCAGGAGTTTGAAACCAGCCTGGACAACATGGTGAAACCCCGTCTCTACTAAAAATACAAAAATTAGCCGGGTGTGGTGGCACACACCTGTAGTCCTGGCTACTTGGGAGGCTGAAGCAGGAGAATCACTTGAACCGAGAAGGCGGAGGTTGCAGTGAGCTGAGATCACGCCACTGAGATACTCCAGCCTGGGCAACAGAGTGAGACTTGGCTTCAAAAGAAAGAAAAAAGACATTCTTAATAATTTTACTCTTCAACTTGGTTTGTAGTGAAGTCTGATAGTACAATGGAGCCTGCACATGAGCAGAGGAGATATGCCAGGTAGTAAGGCATGCATGCGTGGGCTCAGGTCTGCAGGGACAGTGGACACTGTGCAGATCAAGCAGTTGGCGTTGCCACCTGATGTGCATACACACTATACCTGGGGCAGTCCAGGGTGTGGTAGGACCCTGAGGGGTGGCCAGGCCCAGGACCTGGGCTCATATTGGTGGCAGTGGTGGCAGGAGTCAGGCTCCAGGAGAGAGGAGATGTGGCTACACTGCTAATATATCACCCTTGATGGCAAGTGAGCCCTTTGCCCTGCAGCAATATCATCAAGCCAGGTACCTCGGAGAGACTGAGCGAGGAGCTGCTTCCTTTCCAAGGGTGACCACCAGCAGGAGAATGCATCACTGAGTGACTAACATTATTTTCAATTGTGTCCATTGAAAAATGAGATTAAAAGTATAAATTTTGATGATCTAAAAAATGAATTTGTAGAGAAATGAGCCAAAGAAAGCTTATAATCAATCAAGATATTATTAAAGTATTATTAGAGGATATAGAAAAGAAGAAATAAGCGACTCTATAGACTCAAAACCTCAGAAACTAACTACTAATATTTGGGTGTATTTCTCCCTAGATTTTGCTATGCATATTTTTACACAATTTGAATAACATATATTCCATCAAGTGAATATACCATATTCACTTTCCTTGACATTTATGTAGTTTCCAATTTTTTATATTAAGACTTTGCTTTACATCCTTGTGCATAATTGTACTTTTAAATAGACTGTTCCATTTCAAAAAAGCATAAAGTTTTTCATGAATTTCAAGTAATTTTTAGGCGCAGAATTTCTGTTCTTTTTTCTCTATGGTCTCCTTAGGTGAGCCATTCACTCATGTGTTTGGTTATTTCAGTACTGACTTCTCCTTAACTTTATAATAATCAAATTTAATAACTTAGATGAAATTGACAAATCCTTTGGAAGATGCAAACTACCAAAGCTTCACTCAGGAAGAAATAGGTAACAACAGTAACCCTATATCTATTAAACAAATTGAATTTAAAATTGAAAAGCTTCCAATAAAGGAAACTCCAGATTCAGATGGCTTTACTGGTGAATTCTAATACCAAGTCATTCGAGGAAGAAATAATACCAATTCTACACGAACTCTTACAGAAAATAGAAGAGGAGGAAACACTTCTCATTTGATAAGGCTGACATTTCCCTGATACCAAAAGCAGACAAAGACTCTCCAAAAAAGGAGAAAACTACAGTCTAAAATTCTTCATGAATATAGATGCAAAAATCCTCAACAAAATATTATCAAAGCAAATTCAGCTGTACACACAAAGAATAATTCATAATTGCCACATTGGGAAATAAACTAAATGTCTTTCAACTGGTGAATAAATAAGCAAACTATGGTGCATTTATATGATGGAATACTGCTCAGCAGTAAAAAGGAAGACTCAAAAGGCTTCATACTGTAGTCAGCTATTTATATAACATTCTGGAAAAGGCAAAATGATAGGAACAGAAAATAGATGATTGATTGCCAGGATGGGGAGAAGGATGTTGATGGAGGCACAGCATAAGGGAATTTTTTGAGGTGATAGAAGGCTCTGTATCTTGATTGATGTGGTGGTCACACGACTGTGTATGTGTCAAAACTCACAGAACTGTATGCCAAAAAGCATACATTGTATTATATGTAAATTATATGTAAATACAACATGCACATAATACCTCATTTTAGTATATGTAAAGAATGTCTTAATTTAAAAAAGAATTAAAAGACCATCTATGCTTCCATTTATAACGTCCTGGAAAAGACAAAACTAAAGGGACATAAAATAGACCAGGATTGTAGGAGTGGGGGTGGAAAGAGGGGTCTGATTACAAAGAGGCAGGAAGCAGCACTTGGGGTGATGGGAATATGCTATGTCTTGATTATGGTGGTGGTTACAAGGCTATATGTGTTTCATAGACCTGTATACCTCAAGCTGGTGAATTTTAGTGTATGTGAAACCTTAATACACCTAACTTTAAAAAGTCTTATGCCCTGGATCTCCTATGACTGCTTGGTTTATCTATGGCAGCAATCCTTAAAAGGACATGTGTATACATTTTTCTCAAGGCATTTATTTATGTCAAATTATCATCAAATGCCCTGCCTCCAGATCTCAGTTTTTTAATCGGTAAAATGGGGATGTGGCCCTTGTTATTGTGTCTCTTAGTGGAGAAGGGCATGTGTATTAGGCTATTCTCTCACTGCTATAAAAAAATACTTGAGACTGGGTACTTTATAAAGAAAAGAGGTTTAATTGGCTCACAGTTCTGCAGGCTGTATGAGCACGGCACCAGCATTGGCTCGGCTTCTGGTGAGGATCTTAGGAAGCTTACAATCATGGCGGAAGGAGAAGCAGAAGCAGGTGTCTCACATGGTGACAATGGGAGCAAGGCTGGGGTAAGTGCCACACACTTTTAAAAAAACAGATCTCGGCCAGGCACAGTGGCTCATGCCTGTAATCCTAGCACTTTGGATGCAGAGGTGGGTGGATTACTTGAGGTCAGGAGTTTGAGACCAGCCTGGCCAACATGGTGAAAACCTGTCTCTACTAAAAATACAAAAATTAGCCAGGAGTGGTGGCCCGTGCCTGTAATCCCAGCTACTTTGGAGGCTGAGACAGGAGGATCACTTGAACCTGGGAGGTAAAGGTTGTAGTAAGCCGAGATCAAGCCAACGCACTCCAGCCTGGGCAACAGAGCAAGAATCCGTCTGAAAAACAAAAACAAAAACAAAAACAAAAACCAGATCTTAAGAGAACCCATCATCTCGAAGACAGCACCAAGCCAGGAGGGATCCATTCTCATGACCCAAACACCTCCTACCAGGCCCCACCTCCGACACCGGGGATTACATTTCAACTCAAGATCTGGATGGGGACAAATATCCAAACCACGTCAGCATGGTTTTGAAGTTTGACAATTCTAAATTTAAAATCTGTCTCCACGACTTCCCAGCTGTGTGCCTTGGCACCTTAGTCACCTTACCAGGCTCCAGTTACAGTTATGATAAGCACTTACCTCATAGGAAAACTGTGAGGACCAAATGGCAGAGTGCATAGTCAGGTGCAATGACAGGCATGGAGTAAACCTGCCATAAGTGGCACCAGTGTCTCAAGTCCTGCTAGCCCCAACCCATACAGAACTGTACAGGGAGACACAGTACTCTGGGATGGGCACCTGTGGTGGGCCAAATAATGCACCCCAGACATCCACATCTTTATCCCCAGGACCTGGGAAAGTTGCCTTGTGTGGCAAACGAGACTTTGCAGATGGGATTAAGGACTCGAGATGGGGAGACTATCTGGTTTATCCAGGCGGGCCAAATGGAATTACAAGTTTCCTTATAAGGGAAAGAGGGAGTTAGGAGAGACAGAGGCAGATAAGCGGGCGTGCAAACAGAAGCAGAGTTCAGAGTGATGTGGGTCCACCAGCCAGGGAATGCAGGTAGCCTTGCTGGAGAGGCAAGGAGACGGAGCCTCCCCTGGAGCCTCCAGAGGTAACCAGCCCTGGTAATCCATTGACACTTCTGACCTCCACGAAGCCACCAAGTTTGTGGCACTATGTTACAACATCCACAGGAAACCAACACAGCGTTTTGGGTGAACGGATCCTATTTCCCAGACCAGTGGGACTTGGTGTGGTGCATGAAGGGCATGGCTCTGAATGTGAATTCCATCTTCTTGGAACTGGGCCTGACTGGGGCAATAGAGAATGCAGGGCCCCACCACAAATGGAAGCTCTGAGCACAGTTGCTCCTGACATAGTCTAAAGCGTGTCGTCCACCTCCTCCCTCCTGGCTCACGGACCCACCCAGTGATCCTGCCTCTGTCCTCTCACCCCCACACCATGAAGCAGCTGCCGGTAGGCTGGACCGCCGTAGGGAAAACTGTTAAGTGTGTGTCCACTCCAGAAGCATGACCCTCCCCGGTTTTCTCAAGGACCATCCTGAAAACTTCACCCTGCGTGTGATGACAAACCAGTATTGAATTTGGAAGCGATTCAGATCCTGCCTTTTTTTGGCTTTGTTTTGTTTTGAAGGTGCTTTCCACTTTTCCACTGATGTCCACTGGAGGGTGCTGTGCACGTGTTTATAGGAGGCTCTGAACACAACTCAGCATCCGCGTGGCATGCAAACACTGAAGTAGAGAAACACGGACAAAGACATACCTACACACATGTGCCTACATTCAGACATATGGATGCACACAGACCCACAAATCATCACACACATAGCACTCACACATATGAGGATAGATGTGTATATCTATATACAGTCATGTGTCACTTAACACGGATGCGTTCTGAGAAAGGCATCATTGGGCAATTTCCTCTTTGTGTGAACATCATAGAGTGAACTTACACAAACCTAGATGGCAGAGCCTACTACACACTGAGGCTGTACAGAATAGCCTATTGCTCCCAGGCTACAGACCTGTACAGCAGGTACTGCGCTAAACACTGTAGGCAATTGTAACACAATGATAAGTATTGTGTATCTAAGCATAACTAAACATAAAAAAGGTACAGTAAAAATACCATATTATAATTTGACTGGGCCACTGTCACATATGTGGTCCGTCATTGACGGAAATATCATTATGTGATACATGACTATAGAGGTACATAAACACCAGCAAGTATGCACGCAAACATGTACTCATGAACACAGTCACAGTGCCAAAAACACACACAGAGGCACACAAAGCACATATCCACATACACGGTAGATATGTTCAGATACACACATACAGGTTTACATAGGTTCATCTATACACACATACACATATACACACACATACACACATATGCACACAGACCATTAATCCATACATGCATATGAGCCGATTATCACTGGCAGACAAACAGCCCTGTGCAGAACGTCATGAATACACATTCTGACACGCAGACTTAAGCATAAAAACATAGACATGCATCTGTAGTGAAACACCAACACGTGTGCACATACATGTACTCCCTAGCCTGGGCCTTCGTTACTTCACTTGTTCAAAAAACGCAATCCCTTGAGGGATGATTAACACTGTAGTGTTTTCTAAGAAAAACAATGGAAATGTCAACTTCGTAGTCCCGAACTGTTTATTTGTTAAATGTTAGTGAAAGGCATTTCTAACAATGCACTGAGTCTTTTAAGAGAAAAATAGTAGCCCTGCTCTGACAAAGCAGAAAACCCAAACCATAGTTTTGCAAACACCTTATTAACATATGGAAGGCTCAGAGCTACTCTAAAAGAGATTCTGTTTTTAAAAAGTGGAAAAATTTCAGATTCAGGTAAAACCAAAAAATTATGTGAAGTTGAAGAATCTTTAAGTCCAAACAAGTCCTTCCCTCTCAGAAAGGGTGATGATAAAGAAACATGAGCCTTTGCAAATGATTATCAGATGGCCAGGCCTGGAAATTTGTCTTTGATAAGACAAAGGCATTAAAATAAAGGAAAACATGAAAGGAGAGAGAGAGAAAAGGGCCTATGAAAATAGTTGATCCTATAATAACATTGCAGAGCTGAGAAGTCAGCTGTCAGAAATGCATCCCGCTTGGCAGCCAAGCCCTGCCGTGAAGCGAGAGTGGAGCGTGCTCCAGCAGAGGGTCCAGTGGGGGTGTGAGCAGCTTTGCATGGACACACGCTGTTTACTGCTCTGCCTCTGTTCACAGGATCCTCAGAAGGCAGGGGAGGATGCTCAGGGTCTGGGCAGGACACCCAGGTCCAAGTCCCATTTCTGCCACAGCAGATCCCTGCTCATCCCTGGGTCTCGATCTCCCCAGGTATAGTGAAGAAGTTGCCGTCTCTAATCCTGAAAGTTCCTTCCTTCTCTGACACTATCATTACCAGCTCTCTGCACCTCTGACACCCCACTGTATCTGGTGACCAGAATCATTGCAAGTGGCTCTGTTTGTGCATTTAACAAAGTGCCGTTCCAGCCCATCAGCTCGATACCAAGGAACAATAGCTCAGGAATAGATAAAAGGCATTCATCAGGCAGCCAGGCCCAATTATCATGTCACACTGAATGAATGTATTTTAAAATCTTTTCTGACAAGAAAATGTTCCATGTAGGTACCTTCAAATTAGCTGGAAGATCCAGAAAATTTGCTATTAGGCCTTCTTTGAAGAACCTTTATTCCCCCCCACTGTTGCAGAGGAATTCCTTGGATATTATTAATTCCTTCCAAGAGTGTGACCTTGTGCCTCCTGCTGGGACTGAAACACTTTTCCTGTCTGCTCCACTCCACGGGAGCCATTGCGGAGATGACACACACATGGCCCAAATGGGAGATCACCTGTCCATCAGTTTCAAGTGTCGGGAGGGCGCTAGTGGAAATTCTATTCAATTTTGCTCCACCAGCATTTGCTGAGCATCTGTGGTGTGTCTGTGAGCCCTGAGATAAGAGCTGAGTCCACCCAGCTCTTGTCCCTGAAGGGAGACTCCACTAAAGGGGACATGCTTACAAACAGATCAGTGTCAGGGGAAGGTCATGTAGCAGAGTGGAAAGCCAGACAGACTTCATTTTGAAGCCTGATTTGGTCACTGGCTGTGTAACTTTGGGCAGGGACTTCACCGCTCTGAGTCTCACTTTCCTCACCTCCAGAATGGGGGAGAGGCACATAACTCTGGGGGTTGTTGTGAGGAGGGACAGTTTCAAGGGAGGCAAGCCATCCCTCCCTTTGACCCACATTGTGGTCAAAGCCTGGCATCCCCACCTTGTCCCTGGCTCCCTGGGCTGAAGGGTTGTTTCTGACCTCTTCTCCACTCACAACACACAGCAGTATCTGCGGCTTTGTCTTCAGCTTCATGTTGCAGAGGGCTCCATTTGGCTGTGGTCTGGGAGAAGAGATTTCTTTGGCATGGCGAGAAATTGTGTCAAAGGTAGAGCTACCTGGAACTCACGGCTCTGGTGCGGAGATCTGGAAAGGCAACAACAAGCGCTTGGTGGAAAAGAGGTATTAGTACCCTGATTCAGGGTATTAATTTCCAAGTGAGTACAGAACAATTTGCTTGCATCTTCATGTGACTGTGGGTTTGTGCAGGAGCAGTTGCTGACTAAGGGAGATTTCTCATCGACCCACAGAATTCCAGGGCTGGAGGGGGAACTTAGAGGCCAGCTAAGTTCTTGTTTTACAAATGGGGAAACAAGTCCAGAGAGGGGAAGGGGCCTGCTCAGCAGCACACAGTGAGCCGTGAAAAAGTTGGGCCTGGATCCCAGATGTCCTGTGCCCTTGGCCTCTGTTCCTCTTTTGATCCTGCTGTGTCACAGATCACCACCTAGAGGCCTGGGATGGGGCTCCTCTTTCCAGCCTTCTTCCTCTACACTGGAGCCTCTGGCTGCTGCCCCCTTGACTCTGGCCTGCCCGAGCCTACAGACTCTTCTCGTTCTCAGCCGTGGGGCATCTCAGGTTCTTTAGTGCCATAGTGTGAAGATCCTGTC